TTTCTAACAGACACCCCCGAACCGACCCCAAACCTAGCTGCAACTGCTGTTTGCGGGATTGCATAGGAATTTGCAAGGGAAGGAACCCTAATGGTGAAGGTTGCAGTTGGGCCCGCATGTAAACCCTACATGAACGTTTTAGGGTTTGCGCGTTGAGGCCCCAACAGCCTGTTGAGGCATGGCACGAAGTCTCGGACTCTGGGCTGAACCCTTTTCGGGATTTAGGATTAAAATGTTTAGGGTTTAGGGTTTAAGGACTATCGGTCGCAGCCCTGTCTTTGAGGCTTCTGGAAGCTATGCTTGAAACCAAGGGACGGACAAAAGAAGGATCTACAGCCCTACCCGTGTATCCAACAGCCTCTTCGTCTACAGGCTCTACCCAATGTACCCAACCCCCTAAACCCGAAACCCTGAAGCCCTAAACATGGGCAAACCATGGGTTTCTTGGCTGCAAGTTCTTTCAACCCTAAGCCTCAAACTCTGAACCCTAAACCCTAAAACCGAAACCCTAACACCCAAACCCACAGAGAGGCCCAGGGGGTGCGATATCCTCCGCTTCCTTCCTTCGGAAGGAAGCGCGAGCTGGAAAAGCCGACTCTGACACCGGGTCCGCAACTGAAGCATCAACCAAACATTCACGGCAAAGCCTACTTGGTTTAGGGCATTAGGGTTTAGGTTTTAGGGTTCGGGCTTTAAGTTCTAGGGTTTACCTGTGACCCCAAAACCCTTTTTTAAGGAGCTATATGTAGAAACCCATAACAAGGGAACCTAGAAAGGTAGGTCTTTTCGGCTACAGGTACCTGTATCCCCAAACCCTACCAAAATAGTAGGTCCTGACCCCTTAATAATAAGGTATCACCCCCAAAACAGCAGGTTTTTTGGGATCCCCAGTAAGGTCCATTTGAAGGCTTGGGCTTGTGAAGTTCAGGGGTTGACCGGACTTAGAGTTGCTCTCATGGAGTTCCAGGCGGACCTATACGAAGCCCTACCTGGGGATCCCAAAAGCTGCTGGATGCGGCTCTGGGTTTAGGGTTTAGGGGTTTAGGGTTTAGGGTCTCTACCCTATTGTTAAGGGGTCATGACCTACTATTTTGTAGGGTTTGGGGATAAAGGTAGGATCCTTTAAACGGGTCTTAACGTTAGAACAGGGCTATGGAGGTGGGCAGATTAGAAGAGGGTCCATTCCGGGCGGGGGGGGGGGGCCATCTTACACTGAAACAAAGAGGACCCTGAGGAATGAAACCCTAAACCCTAAAACCTTAAACTCTAACCCTGAAGAAGGAGACCCTGAGCAATGATGATACCGATTATTCTGAGGCTTCTGCAGGAGGCTGCAGTGCCAAGGGCTTCGTTCAGGGTTTAGGGGTTAGGGGCTTTAGGGGTTTAGGGTTAAACTCTCGATGCCCTACAAAAACCAGTAGCAACAAGCGGCAACAAACCTGCCTACAACCAGACACAGCAAGCCTACAGAAATCCCAGTGTAACCCTAAACCCTAAACCCTGAAACGCTAAACTCTAAACCCTACAAAGTCGCTCTTAGACGACTCAACACCTCCAATGGTCCAAGGGCACTCACCGAAGCCTAAACTCTAAAGCCGAAAACAGCAAAAGGCTCACCCAACACTAAAAAGCCCTAAAAACTCTAAACCTCAAAGGGCCCTCACAAAGAGAGCTTGGTTGATCCGTCGGTCAAAGCAAGGCTCCCTGAGGAGAAACTCATCCTTGTGGGAACGTCATCCTCAGGATTCGTCGACGCCTCCCGAGTTTGGGGTTTTAGGGTTTAGGGTCTAGCGTTTTCGTGTTTAGGGTTTGGGTTCTTAGGTCTTAGGGTATAGGGTTTAGGGTCTCGGGATGCCAAGGGGTGCAGCGCGAAGGGAGTTGGTATGAGGGTTTAGCGTTGTCTTCCTCTTGAGTTGTGCTGGCTTTCTCTGTGGCCTGAAGGAAGTCGGCTCACCAGGGTTTGTTGAGTAAAGGGTTTATAGATATCGGTGGTGGTTTTACGAGGTTCGTGGTTCAGGTCCCTCTATTTCCAAAGTCTATAGGGTGTAGGGGTCGGAAGTCAAGGCTTCTAGCGTGCGGCATGCGGGATCCAAAGATTCGGGCTCTTTACGAGTTTTCGCGTGCTCCTCAAGAAGGACTCTTGGGGGCTCTTTGCCGAGCGAATTGAAAAGTTTGTGGGGTTTTAGGGCTCTTGCAGGAGCGAGACTTTTTGGACTTTACATGTGACGAGTTCTTTACAGGATTGTATTGGTTCCTTTAAGGGGCTCCAGGCATTCTGCTTGAAAACTCGAAGATAAAACTGCTCAACAGGCCTTGTACGATTCTCTACAGAATTTTGGTAGATCCTTACAGCCTTCATAGGTCAACCCAAAGCCCGATTCTCTGCGAAGCCGTTAAGCGGCTCTCTCCAGGATGTGCAAGGCTTTCTGGCTTTAAGGCTCTAGGGCTTTCGGACGTAACCAAACCCTGAACACTTAACCCCGAGAGCCCCGTCACCCTAACCCCAAAGCCTAGGCCTAAGCCCTAATCAAAAAAAAACCCAAATCCATCCCTGGATCGGGAATCTGTTTTCTTTTCGACCGGCCTTGGTGTGGCTGCGGGATTAGGGTTTAGGAGTTTAGGGCTTAGGGTTATGACAGCTCTTTAAAGTTTTGGGGGTGTTGAGGTTTAGGCTTTGGGATTCTTTGGGGCTTTGGGGTTGAGGAGCTCGTGGCGGCATTAGTGCGTTTATGGGTTTACAGTTTAGGGTTAGGGTTTGGGGTTTGGGGCATAGAGACTCTATGGCAAAAATCAGAATTCGAACTGCATCCTGCGACAGTATTAATACAGCACTACTACCGAAACCATAAACCGAAATAAGGCTTGATTTCTAATGCGAGCGGAATCAGCATGTCCCAACCCTAAACAATAAAATCACAACTGAAAACCCATCCACTACAGTTGTATGGCCCTAGAGCCCGAAAGCCGTACAGCCCGCAAAACCGAACACCCGGAAATCTACACCGCCAAAAAGCAGCCAAGGCTTTCAACCCTAGTAGCCTCAAACCCCCTAAGCCCTCAAACTCTAGACCTCGAAACTCCACATCCCCAACACCGGAAGCCAGAAAACCCTTGAAAGGCAACCCTCAACCCTAAACAGGAAGACTCTGAGCCCGTCCTGCGACGCACCGTGGTACCAGTTTTGTTCCTCGCAGGGAGACGACGAAGGCGACGACCACTACCCTTACTACTAGCAGCCGGGTTTCCAGGAGCTTAGGCCTCAGGGACCTCAAAAAAACTCAAACGACCGGAGCATCAAACGTAACTTCCACCATGGTGACAAGCCATCCTCAGCCTCAAAGCTAAAACCTTCAAGAACTGAGTCCTACTGCCTCTGCCGCCTATCCGGATTCTGGATAGATTTGGGGGTGTTTTGCAGACTCTAACACTCCAGGACTCTCACGAACCCGACAAATAATAGCTTCAATCTTCAGCTACCCAATATACACCCCAGGACCTATTGTGCGAAACGTCGATGGGGCCGCTTAAGATGAGCGTAATTTTGGTTTCGGAGCGGGGCGGGGTCCTGCCAGCAAGGGATATTTCACCTCATGTGTCGGTCGGAAAGTAAGCAGAATTATCTGACCCGTTCATGGCCGCATATGCTTGGACTCCACAACCCTCATCGTCAAGGGCCCCCCTTAGCCCTAAACCGACACATCCAGAATGTCATAACGCCCATAAACCCTGAAGCCCGGTTCTAAACCTTAGACCCCAACGGCCCAAAGCAGCCGTCCGCAAATGTCCAAACCCAGAAGCCCTGATAGAAGCCTTTAGGGAACAATTTCAGAATACTCTTGAGCCCTTATAGAAAGCTCCCCAAGCCCCAACACCAGTGAACCCGTCCTCGAGCTGTTTCATCGTAAAGTTGTCATCCGCCTCATCACGCGAAGCTGCCGATGCTGGATCCTCGTGGGGGACTCAGGCTTTTCAGCCAAGCTTTAACTGCGGGGATTTTACAAAGGGGGGTTTAGCTTCTTGAGTTCTGAGTTTTGGGTTTTGAGCTTAGAGGGACTCCGGGCGTAGGTATTCAGATAGAGAGGGTTTGGCACTTCGTCCATGGTCTGTTGGATTGTGCAAACTTCTGGCTTCGGAGTTCGTAGGTGGCTCAAGCTTGCGGCCTTGCGCGCTAGTGTTCACAGCCCCAGACCTGCACCTGAACACATCAGGGTTTAGGGTTTAGGGAAAAGCCAAACCGTGAAACCCTGCTACCTCGAAACCCCAAACCCTAAACCCCCGCAGCCGCAGACCCTTCAACCCTGGCGCTGGCAAAGCCCTGAAACCCTGGACAAATCCCAAAGCTCCACAGCTTTGAAAACCTTCAGACCTTATACCTAAAAACTAAATCCTAAACCCAAAAGCCCTAAACCCGGCCTTGTAAGTAGACGCCCACCAAACCCCGACAAGCTCTAAAACCTGAACAGCTTTTGGGGCACAGGGTTCAGGGTTTAGGGAAGCCCCCCAAAGACCACACAAAATCCTAAACCCTAAGCCCAAAAATCCTCAAGCCCTAAACCCTAAAACCCTAAAACCCCAAAATCCTAAGACTCTAAATCCTGAAGGCTGAAGGCTCTGGGGCCGAAGGTCGCGAAATGTCCCCAGCCCCGTGAATTTCACAAAGACACGGATGCACCCACGGTTTAGAGTTTAGGGTTTAGGGTTCCTTTTAAGGGGAAGGGCACCTTAAGGGGTAGGGCTTCAGGGTTTGGGGGGGGGGAAAGCCCCAAACCCTCAAAACAACCCCTAAACCCCTGAAGCTCGAAACTTCAAAGCAGCTAAGGAAGGCCCTGAACCAAGCACTGGCCCACCCTTTCACAAGTCCTTGTAACTGAAAGCCCTGAAAAGGCCTGTAGAAGACACGTTCTAAAATCTCCGACGAACCGACATGAAACTCTTGGCAACACCTCTAGAAACGGTGGTTTTTGATGAAGCCTTTAACGACAACCGCCCCTCGACAAGTCCTTGTATCGGTGCATCCGGCCGGCTATCTCGGCAACCTGCCTGGTTTGCAGACCTTGGGCTTAGGGGCTTAGGGTTTAGGGGTTTAGGGGCTTAGGGTTTAGGGTTTAGGGGTTTAGGGTTTAGGGTTTAGGGGTTTAGGGATTTCAAGGTGGCTTTCTAAGATTCTAGGGGCGTCACCAAGCCACCGGGGCCTCTTCGTACTGCCCTATTGCCGACGAAATAAAAGGTTGAAACTGTCAGACTGATACAAACTCATAGAACACAAGACCCCAAACCCTAAACCTACAAGAAGAATGCACAAAGGGTAGGTGTCGGTAGACGAAAGAAAGCCTTTCACGACTTTCCTAAAGAATGCACGCCGATGTCGTTACAAAGAACCACGGTCACAAGAAGGTTTAACCGGGGTCAGGGTTTTGGGGTCTAGTAGGGTATATCATAATACGTTGGGGTGCTTGTTGTTTTTGCTGGGTTTGGGGTTGTGACTTCTAGGGCAAAAGAAAAAGCAGAAGAGGCAGCAACAAGGAAAAGCTTAAACCCCTAAACCCAGACCCTTGCAGAGCCCTCATAAACCATTCATAGAACCTTAAACCCAAAGCCCTGAACCCTAAACCCTAAACCCCAACACCCTAATCCCTAAACCCTCCACCCTGAACCCTAAACCCTAAACCCTGAACCCGGAACCCCAAAACCCTAATCCCGATACCCTACACCCCCATAGTATCACGCAAGATCCAGGCCCCTACACTTACGACCTCGCACTCTGTAAGCCCTTTAGCGCTGAGGATTTCGGGGTTTGGGCTGTAAGGGGCGAAGTAGGGCTTGGTGCTTCGTGTTTGAAACTCTAAACCCTACGGACTGGGGATTAGGGTTTTGAGTGCCTGGCCTGCTACCTTTATCCTTGGGATTCTACGGGACACCCAACCCATGGACCCTAACCCTGCCTAAGTCCATTCCTTTTAGGAACCCCAAATTACTGAATTTGTAGCGCAAATTACTGAATTTGTAGGGGCCGTACAAAAGAAAGAAGGGGTGTGGGCAGGTTGAGGTACACGGCAGAACCCCAGAACCTTTGAGCTAAGTCGATTAAGCCCCCGAAACCCTGAAACCCCTAAACCCCAAACCCCTAAAGCCCAGCCCCTTAAGCCCTAAGGCCGAACCCCCTGAACCCTAAACTCCAAACCCCGAAACCCGTTAGGGTTTAGGGCTTTAGGGGTTTAGGGCTTAAGGGTTCAGGGCTTTAGGGCTTTAGGGTTTTAGCGCTTTAGGGTTTTAGGGTTTAAGTAAACCCCGAAACCCCTAAACCCCCCCCCGGCCGACCTTCTGAGGCAAGTGGTGAGAACGGAAGTGCAAGGACTGTGACGAGGCTCTTATAAGCCTGGGCTTCGGGATTTAGGGTTTAGGGTTTAGGATCTAGGGGCTTAGAGGGTTTGGGATTTAGGGGCTGGCTTGGGGGTTAGGGCTTTAGGGGTGTAAGGATCTGGGGTTTCGGGTTGCAGCCTGGGCTGGGGAAATCGGAAACAAGATCCTTCGGATGCAAAGGCCCCCGTGCAGACACGGTTTAGGAGTTTAGGATTTAGGGTTCAGGGTGTTAAGGGTTCTTGCACCCCTGTAAAACCGCTAAGCCTTATGGGCCAATCTGAACCACAAGCAACGGCGGACACCCACAAGTCTCAACGAAACGACCCCGCGGAAACCCTGCAGAGGCCTCACACCCGAAAGCCTAGAAACGATGAGTCCAGTTGAAACTGCTGTGATCCCGTATACTACTTGTACAGTGATACTCTAATACTGTATTGATACTGTTGGAATTTTGGATACACTGTGGGTTGGGATATACTCTCAGAAACTGTGTTATACTGTTAAATTGTTATAGAAGCCCTAACCTGGCAGGAACCCCTTAAGCTTTAAGCGAACTCTTACCCAAAGACCCCCCAAAAACCCAAACACCCCTCAACCCTAAACCCTCCGACAGCCCAGCGACCTGGAGTAGCTGCCTCTGATCGGCCACGTCGTCGTCATCCATGTCAGCATCGACCGTCGGATTGTGGTCAAGGTCAAAACTTGGAAACTCGAACTGCACATCGGCGATGAGCGTCAAAACCTGCCCAAGGAGGCTTCAGAGAGCTTCTGGGGCCTAGAGATTTTGGGGCTCTTCGGGTCGAGGGCCAGGGCTTAGGGCTAAGAGGGTGTAGGCTTTCAGGGAGATAAGGCTTATAGAACAGCTTCGGGGCTTGAAAGTAGGGACCTAAGCTGTTTGGAGCTGCATCTCGCAGTCGTGTAGTCGTAGACCCATACAGGGACCATATAACAGGCGGCACGAAATGAGCTGGCTCCTCTTTTGCTGAACTACGGTGGATGATATACATCCTGCATTACCCATAATAAGGAATCTATCATAATTCCCCAAGTTTAGGGTCCTTACGGTAATGCAGGGTATATATCATCAACCCTACGTACCATGTGGTTAGGTCTAGGACACAAAGGCTAGGACTGGGAAGAGGCGGAGGAGGATGCACTAGGCTGCCCAGTAGCCCCTTTTTTGCGGGTACCCTTTTTCCTGGTATTTAGTTTTAGATATAGGCATGGATATACATACATATATAGATATGGGTATAGATAAAGATATAGATGTAGATATGGAGCCCCAAGAAAAAGGGCAAAAGGGTAGTACGGGGCAAGCTAGCGATGGCAGAGCTCAAGCTTCGGCTTTGTCCGGATGTGGGATGTCGGGACAGAGAGCTTCGGAGGGTTTAGGGGTTTAGGGTTTAGAGATTACTGTCAGGTTCAGCAGCTCCGGATCGAGCAGTCACTAGTCAAGCTAGCGGTTTAATGTCTAGAAATAAACCACCCGCCCAAAGAATCCCATAACATTAAGACACCACACAGACAATCTTTCTCAGCCCTAAACCTCGATAAAGCCTAAAAGCCTGGAAACCTAAAGCCAAAACTCTAATGACGAAACCCTAAGGCCGACACCCTAAGTCGAAACACTAAGGCCGACACCCCCAAAGTCGTCACCATTTGCACTAAGCAGTCACCATTTGCAGAAAAGCCGCTAAACAAGTCAAGGGAAAAGCTTGATTTTACAAGAACACCGCGAATCAGCTAGGGTATAAAAAATACAAAAATAAACAAATAAATATAAACAGTGTGCAGATATATACATATATATATATATGAAAGAGGGAGTGTAGGGTTTAGGGTTTGGGGTTCAGGGCTCAAGACGGACCAACATCCCGAGCACCAGAAGCTCCCCAACCCACCTCTCAGGCCCCGAAGAAAGCCATCAACCCAAAAGCAAAGGGGTTTAGGGTGTAGGACTGTAGGGTTTAGCGTATATTATATTACTATATTCTATTCTATTATGTTATGCTGTATTATGTTACATTATGTTATATGAGATCATATTACACTATATCGTACTATATCAAAACTCCAAATCCCAAAGCCCTGTCGCAAAACCCCAAACCCCTATAGAGCTGTTTGTTCTCAGGAAGCAAGGCCCCAAACCTTAAACCCAAACCTCTTTCCACGGTCTAAAGTTTAAAGTTTAGGGTTTACGGGTTTGGGGTAAGCTTATAAATCCTAAACCTTACAAGACTGCGCCTCCAAAGACCGTCCTGGTGGTGAAAAAGCCGCCAAGAGCAGTCGCGCGAACCCCGAATCCGAAAAGATGCCGCGGAAAAGCAGCACAACCTAGGGTTTAGGGTTAGGGGTTTAGTAGTGTAGGGGCCTCTAAGGGCTCTTGGGATTCTTGGGCTCTAGGGCTCCATAGCGATTTAGGGTTTCGGATGTGCAGGCAGAAAGGTTCTAATTATAAGGGTTGCGATCAGGGTTTAAGCTTTAGGGGCATTGGTAAGATAATTTAAATGAGGTGTCGGGGTAGATTATACTGATTAAATGGGGATTATCAGGGAATACAATTACCAACTATGTGACACGGTCTTTAAGGTTTCGATGAAACAAACCTTATAAGGGGCTTGTATGCGGTGATGAGGGTCGTATTAGGTCTGTAGAGAAGCATAAGCCCTAGGACCCTAAACCCTAAACCCCTAAACCCCTACACCCCCAACCCAAACCCATAAACCCTAATCCCATAAACCCTGCACCCTACACCGTAGGGATCCTGTCCAAGGCTTCGGGTCTGGGTGGTTTCGGACTTGAGAGGGCAGAGGGCTCTTCTTCGGATGCTGCTGACTCTTCGGCTGTGGAAAATCCGGTTGCAATTTTCATTCGGTTTAGGGTTTAGGGTTTAAGTTAAAGGTTTTGGGTTTTTTTGGGGTCCGGGGATAGTTTCGCAACGCATAACCCTAACATCACAACACCTGAAGTCCGGACTCTGGGTCGACTCGAGTACTGCTCCATGTGTTAGAACTTAGGGTTCGTGGGGTTAAGTTTTGAGGCTGCGACTACATGTATGTTTCCGTCTGAGGGCTTGGATCTTTATATTGTGCTGCATCGTGGAGGTGGTCACATAGAGTGTCTCAGCCTAAGGCGAGGGCTTGTTATGACGATGTATGCCCAGAAACACTCCGCCGAAGCCTTAAAACTCAAACCGCAAGAACCTAATACCCTAAACCCTAAACTCAGGCGTTTGGCTGTCAGCCTCTGC